AACAATATTTTCTCAGAATAGAATATTATTATTATTATTATTATTATTATTATTATTATTATTATTATTATTATTATTATTTTATGCAATGCCTATACCTCCTGGACAGCAATAGTCAAAGCATCAAAGCACAGGAAAAATTAAAAGTATAATTAAATTATTTGTATTTTTTCAAAAACAGGGTCCAAATGGACTATATCCATTTTTTTCACCCATACTCACAGTTCAATGGCTTTATTCCACATGATGACGTAGCCTGAGAGAGTGAAAGACTCCACATTGACAATGTGTATATTTCCTCTTTCGGTACCCACATACAACCATTTACTCTGGAAAGGGATATGGCAAAATGTTATCCTGAAAGAGAACGTATTAAAAATAGTAAGTTCTAAATACTAAAAATTGACAGTAGAATAAAATGAATGCATAGTTTGAAAATAAAATAAATGCAGACACAAAATTATCAAAAGCACATGCAGTTAATTCAACATTATCCAAACTGCTTTTTTAAGCTAAGCACAAATTTTCAACTTTATCAACAATATTATTTTCTAAATGTGCCTCTATTAAAAAATACAAACAAAATAGAACTCCTTTTACTTCTTAACTAGTATACTTTTTCGATATGTATTCTTTGATATGTAAAGATGTCAAAAAATTTCTATGATCAACAAAATGTAATTATATTCCTAAAACATTTTGGAAAATTGAACACTGTATGGCTTTTTCTTCAAATTTGTCACAAATATTTGGGACAAATTGCTACATATCAAATGTGTAAATTGGTTACTAAAATGTTCTCCTCATTAAAATGAAATCCAATAGAAAAAAATGCAAGCAATCTACCAAAATATTTATGTCTACTATATTCAAACATAAAAATTGAATCACATTTCTTCCCAGAATACTTCTTTATGAGGTTTGCATTTTTAAGTCAATATTTTTAATCTATAAAAAGGGCGTTGGTACTTACCTAATACGCCTCTTCTCATAGTGGGGGGAGGAGTATCCAGAATGGGTTGACCTTATCCTCTCGTGATTGGATTGAGTCAGATAAGCTCTTTGGGCAACGCCCCCTGGCACCAGGAATCCCCAGTTTTTCTGACTCAAATCGATCGTGAAAGGTTGCTCATTCTGGATCTCCAGCAATTTACTAGGATCTAAGGGAAATTCAGTTGGACCTGTCGAGCTTTGCCTCCCTGGTCCGCGCACAGCCTCCTCTTGCAGGATTGGGACTGCCACTAGCCCCCTGGGGCGGCACGCTGCCCTGGCCACTGAGCACATCTGAAGCCACTCAGTGAGGACCTTGGCCGGGCAGCAGGAGGATGGGCAAAAGCCTCCAGCAGGCAGCCCTAACCGCTGAGGCTTGTAAGTTGCTCCCCTCAAGGGTTAAGCAACGAACCAGGGCTTCCCTGGAGCGCCCACGCTGCTTCCATGTGGCCAGAGGATCGTGAGGAAGCCGAAGAAGTCGTTCCTGG